GGCCAAGGAAGCTGCAGTGCATCACCATTTATTACATCTGTCTTTCTGCACAGGCTTTAGATGAGGAGGGTTGATTTGCATACTATATCTGGGCTCTGCTGCTTTTGGAAAGGGCTTGTTGTTGGGGGGGGAACACACATATCCTGGGTTGAGGGCGAAGCAGTGCTCCTATGATGGTGGGCTGACTCACCTGCTTCCCTGTTTCTCAGGCTGGGGAGTCAGCCAGCAGGATTATATGACTGTGGCAGCCTCAGGGGAATAGTTAGTTGGTAACGCTGTGCCACTTCAGAAACTTCAGCTTGTACTGTATGGTCCAAGTGGGAGGTTTCAAGACCTCTAAGGAAACTACCTCTTAAAGGCTCGGGTAGACAGGGCTAGCTGCACTGTTTACCTCCTTTGTATTTACCTCCTTTGTTTGCAATTGTCATTGGTTTTTAGCACTAAGCCACACAAAGCAAAGGGGTTGCAGCTAAAATCTGAGCTGGTTTCTGTTTCTGCTAGTTGTTGGACACCAGTTCATCCTCCAACAGGACTTTGCTTTCACTTTTGTGGGCTCTCCACATGTGCAGTCTGAGGACCTTATTCCTCCATTGTAAGAGAGAGCTGGAGCAGAGCAGGGGTTTTTAAGCAACTGAGGTAAAATGGGCAATTAGGAATTGAGCTATTCTGCTGTAAAGCAGGGAATTGAGTTCTGGTGGGGCAAGTAAACCCGCTGAGATTAGACTGGTTTTTTCCCATCTAAGAGAGTGTCAAAGAAAAGCAGAATATGAGGTTAAAAAAAAAAAAAAAAGAAAAAAGATTTGGCAGATTCAAGGAAACAGATTCCCAATTCCCTTGTATTCTAATAATCACAAAACTGTGGATAGAGCCTCCAGCCTGAAAAGTCCTTTAGCCCACAAGTGACGGAGAGTGGGAGGATGTATGTGGGAGAAGCATTAGTTTCAGCTTGCTCAGTTATCCTTTCCCTCTTCAAGCTGTTAGAGACGAGTCATTGCAACAGGCAGACCTTTGGAGTGACCGAGCATAGCTTATCTCTTGTTCTGCCCTCCCTCATTACTCCAACTGGCTTATTTCTGTGTGAGCTATTCTGTAGAGGTTTCCTGTGGTTACGGGATGTGTGACTGGTGTGCCTGACTCCTCCTCAGCACACTGCTAGGCAGTGCCCTCAGCCCAGGGAACTGCAATACCATGTTTTCTTCTTAATCCAGAGCAACACTATTACAGGCACAGCAGTGATGCTGATTTAAGATTTGTCCAGCTGAGAACAGAGTTTGGCTTTCAGTCAATAACAGTATTTTTTATTTTTCTTAATTGGTGTGTGTTGAACAGGGAACACCATGGTTCGTGATGTCAGGACGTATCGGGAAGGTGGAGCTGGAGCAGCGGGTAGAAACACAAGTGCAGCCGCATGAAAAGATGTGGTGCTGTGGCAGGAACAGAACCGAGGCTGGGATTTTACTGTAGGGTTAAGCTGAACTGATCAGGTGGTAGCACCGCAGAGTCACCTCCTGCCTTTTAACCCTCAGTGGCCTTGTCCCTGCACTCAGGGTCATGCTGGGCCAGTGGAGAAATCTGTGGGAAAGTGTCCATGGTCAGCCCACCATACTGAGCAGCAGACTGCAGTCAGACCGGCTTATACTGCCTATGAAATCCCACCTCAGACCTCCAATTTTCCACAGAAATGTCCGACTGTGTCCTTTGTATGTATGCATGTGGCCTACCTCTACACTACTCACATCCAGCTTCTTCTGGGGACTTGTTCCTTAAAAATTTGAAGCAATTATAAAAAGAAATTCAGAGACAAACAGAGGTACAGGGTACTGTCCTTCCACCTCTAAAATTAATTCTCCATCTTGACCTTTGGATAAACAGTACTTCTGTGGTAAGACCATTCTGTAGAGGATGAACTGGTTTGAACTTGAACTTCTCATTTATTTTGAATACATAATGAAGTCTTCAGTGGGTCAGGGAAAACAAGTGATGATAGCTTTGTCCTGGGGGGATGAGTTCAGGCAGAGCACTTGACTTACAGTCCATATGGTTGCCTTCACTGCTGGACTTGTAGATACTCTGAGAAGAGACCACGTGCCTCCTTGAGCTCCTTCTTCTTTACCCCTCCAGCAAAAACTGAAAAGTCTTGGGGAAAATGTCACAAAGCCTCATCAAAATTTCCCAGTGAAACAGGGCACTGCCTCTGGACAGACTTATATTTAAATCTGTGGTTTCTCTATTTGTCATGTAGTTTGAGCGCTAGCGAACAGTGAGGCTTGCACATTTTGTGTGGCAGTAACTATGTGCTTAGCTGTGTTTTACAATAATAGGTGATAGTTTCTGGTGGTTTATGATGTCTGTATTCTTACCTTTGAAGGAAGAGGAGCTAATTGGAGACTTCCTTGCCTCCCTTTCATTCCGGGCGAGAAGGCCCAGATTTCCAAAGCACTGCACCCATCACCGTTATGTCTTCTCTAAACTCTTTCAGAAACCCTCTGCTCTTAGTTCAGGCTCCACACAGCGCCCTACAAGGGAACAGCCATTCCACCATTCACTTCAGGGGTAGCACTCTTCCAGAGTTCTTCTGAGTATCTGGTCTTACAATTCCCCACCAGAGCCCCTCCTGCCCTTGCTTCAGCTTCTCTTTGTCTCCTGCCCCTCCTTGGCTCACACCCAATGCTCTGCAAAGAGCTCATGCTCTGTGCTGTGCATCCTTTTGAAGTGTGCCCATGCTGCCTCTTTTTCTCAAGCCTGCAGAGAGGTGGCTACAGTCAGAATCACAAACCTCTTGTTAAAACCTGCCCCGCCATTTCTGTGCACAGCGTGCACAGCAAGGAGGACTGCTGCCATTTCAGCCAGCAGCAGTGGTGTCAGCTAAGTGGGAAATCACCTTGCATTTGCTGCATGGTTTCTGCAAACAAACAGCTGCTGAGCAGCCCCTTTCCCATGGCTAGTCACACATTCTGTGCTGCTTGCCGGTTATTGCCCCCGAAGTCTGTGGGGAGTACACCCCACTGGAAGCAGAGCTTAGTATTTTGTGAGTGGGAATTACAGTGACAGTGTTTGGGTTCAGCTTTTGTTCTCTTTGATAGCCACAAAATTGTCTGTATGCACACTCAAGGCATGTTGGTTGGGGCTGACTTCAGATCATGTTTTTTCTGTTTTTAGAAAAACTTACTGGTTTCTCTCAGCAAGGAACCTGCTTAATTACTCACCTTATCCCCATTTGCTTACTGGGGACTCAAACATCTTTGTGGGCAATAGGGTATCTGCTGAGGCATCTAATGGGATGACTTTTCAGCCAGTCTCCATAACAGGTTAGCAGAATCCACAGTACACTTAAGAGTTTTATTGTCCCAGCACAGAGCAGAGCATCAGCCCTTTCCTTGGGGATCCCACAAGAGATGCAGCTGCCTTCCCATTAATTTCACACTTGTGTTTCTATATGGTGGTCACCCCCGTGGCAGTTATGCACTGTAGCACATCCAGTAGAGTCCAGCCAACCTGCCTGGGACAACTAAGACTTCAACAGCCTCTGAAATGATGGGGGAACACAAATACCTATTCCTTTATGCTGTTGTTTAGTTACTCTTTCCTGCTTGTGGGAGGTTTTGAATTCACCCAGGTGAGAGAGGCAAACTGCTGTCAGGAAAATAGAAGCAGGGATAAGATAAAACCAAAACAGATGTAGAGGGGAAAGGAGAAGGGATGAGCACTGCTGCTTCCCTGTACGAAGACCAGCCACTGGTGCTGGTGACCACCATTTCTTAGGCCGGCTCCTACGCTACGAGTAAATCTCTTATTGCAAATTCCCAAATCCCTAGGAGAGGTGTGGATGACTGCGTGAAAGCATCTCTCAAGGAAGATGCCTGCCCAAGCTGCTTTCTCCAGTGTCAGCTGTGCTTTGGGAGCATGATCTGTTTGCCAGCCTGGAACATCAGTGTTGCGTTGCATCTTCTCCTGACAGGGTAACTTCTTAGAGGGGTTTGATCACCATGAAGCCATTTCAGAAAACTGACAGAGTTTGTTAATGCTGAGCTCACGCAACCGTGCGAGTCACAAGTCACATTGTGTGCTGGTCTCATTTTTGTGCAGCATGTCAAATCAATTGGGAGAATAAATGCCAGAACCTGCTTAAGGAAGAGCTGATGCATTATTTTTCTTACTCAGATGGTTTTTCTCCCTTTTATCTCTTAATTTTCTTAGGTGCATGGTGACTTTCCTATTTAAGGCTGATTGCTCTTTCAAAACAGAGCCTTACCCAGTTAGGGTGTGCCAAGGGTTACTCACAGGGGATACTTGGGCCATTCGTACCTGAACACTTGGGTATCCCAGACCAATAGCAGATGCAGGTGGAAGAATAGTTCACATTTCTGTGTGTAAAGCCAAGCTCTGAAGCATTTCCCCCTTCACTGCCCAAGCAAGACTCTCAAGGAATGCAAGGAGAATTCTCCCTAAATTAAAAATAAGTCAGCCAGGCCTATGGGATTTTGCAACCAGAGATTAAGATCTCTTTCTATAGCTTCCTCACCAGAGTGAGGAAAAGCAGCCCAGGATGATCTGTATTAGTCCTGCATGGAAACACAGACAGCTTAGAGAGTGAAACATTCCCAGACCCAGAGCTGAGCTGAGCTGAAGTACAGACCCCACTCCACTTTGCTTGGAAGCCTCTGTGTCTGCCCTATTGTCCCTCAGGAAACTGCATGATTTTGCAGTCAGGCTCAAATCCCTCTCTGAAAGATGTTGGCAGCATTAGAGAAACTCAAATGAAAACTCCTTGAGCACCCAGACACAAGTCCCCTTTCCTAAGAATAGCAGAGCAGACTAAAGAAGAGATGCGTGAGTATCTCCTCTGTTTTTGTTGGTGGCAGGTAACAAAATACCAGGGCTCAAGAGAAATAGTTTTCATCTGTGGAAAAGGTAGGCAAGCAAGGATCTTCAAGGGACAGGAACACACTGCTAGCAAAGGCTGAGTGCTCACACTACTCTCTGCATTTTCTTTCCTCCAGGAACTTTGGAGATATCCTTATTTGATCATGGATGGAGTTAGCAGATTTGATATCATGCAGGGAGACATAGGTAAGGTCATATTCCTGTTCTTGGAAAAGATTGGCACAAAGCAATAATGTGTGATTGCTGTGTTCAGAGTGCTTGATGGGAAGACATGGACCATGGTAGCTGCAGTAAACAATTAACGCAGGTCAATCCAGACTCACATAAATCCACACATAATTTATTGCTAACAGGATTCCCAAGTGCAGCAGCTCTAATCCCTGTTATTTATACACAGCAACTGCCCTCTGTGTATATAAGTACAACCATAGAAAGGGAGGTCCAACTGAGATCAGGCAGATGCTTCAACTACAAGGGTCAAACATGGTTCTAGGGTAGGTAGGTACAGCTCTAACATGTGTAGGACTGAATTTTCTTTTCATCCTAATATCTTCATCTGACTCTCAGTGTTTTCTTCCTGTGAACATTTCTGTCCGTCTTCTCTGATACTTACCCAGACATGTGTCTACACCCTGTATTCGTTCCATTTTTTTCTCCTGGCCCATAACCATGTTTGTCATTGGGAACAGCTCTGCTCCCATATAGAAATAAAAGTCTTCCCATTTCTCACCCCCCTGAGAAGTTTGAAGATTTCCTAGACAATGATCTAGACTGCAAGTCTCAACATGACCACAGAAGATTGGAGGAGCATGAAAGTAGAAAAAGATGGCTGGGTGGCATTAGGGTTCCCAAAGGATATTGATGGTGAATACTGTGTAGTGGTTCAGCATTTCTGGGGAGGAAAGGGAGACAGAAGAGCATTCGTTTCTTTTAACAAGCTGTGTCTTAGATGTCTTAGATGTTGAAATCCACTCTCCTGAAGAGTTAGTTATGATCCATAACAGTGAGTAACAGACTGAATGCACTGGATTCTTCCCTCCCTTGAGGTGACTGCTGGCTGCTGGCTGCTGTGGGCTCCCTGACACTGCAGAAGCAATTTTTGGAAAATGTTTTACCAAAGGACCAAGGATTCCAGGATGATTATGCTGGGATTTTTCATTTCCGGGTATGTATTCTCTGCTGTATTGACACTACTTGGGCTAAGGTAGTTGGATTGTATAGGGGTTCCAAACTGCAGTCCCAGATTTCAACATCCTTTAATGGTTTGGTTCTTCAGGACTGAATCCCAGTTCAGAATTTTGCAGAAAATCCCCAATTTTCTAATGATTCCTTGTGTTCCAGGTGGTGCAATCACACCTCAGGGAATTTGAAGCCCTTTTCTGAAAGTTATGACTCCAGAGGTACAGATACCGGCTGTTCAGATAAATTTGTGTACATATATGTTTTAGATGGCATTCTGGTGTCTGCTTTGATTTGGACAGTTTGTTATGGCTGTCAACACACCTGTGTTCTTTATCGGTTTGGACTGATTTTCTGTTTCCCCATATACTTCACCTTGCACTTTTAGCTCATGTAAATGGCTTGAAATTACAGACCCTTGGAGACAGATCAGAGGAACAGGCTTTTGATATTTTGTAAAGAGATTTGTTTCAGAGAGAGGAGCAAGGTTTTTAGTAAATCTCACTTTCTCCCAACTCTTGAAATTCTCTGAATCTCCCAGGAGGGTGACTGGTATAGTTACTGGCAGGCCCTGATTGCTTGTATCTGAGTCAACCAAATAGCTTGTGGGATTAGAAGCACTTGCAGTATCATTAAGATCCAGAAGGTAAACTGGATGTAGAGAGAATCAGTATATAATCGGCCATTCATCATCCCTCTTTTTTCACAAATCCGTTCTGTTATATACAGTTCAGTACCAAGCAGAGAGCTCTGGCAGTGAGACTTCTTTGACCCCCTGGAGGTCTTGTGGAGCAGCACCAGCAGGATTATCTTGCAGGCAGTCTAAATTTTTCTCTGTTCCTTTGCTCCTCAGAATACCAGATGTTTCTGTCTTGGCCCATTTCCAGCATGCAGAGGTGCACTATATGAGATAAACCAGCTGAAGGGATATCAGTCCACTTAAAATACATTAAAAGGATACAAACTAGATTGTCTTTCATGAGAGCTTTGACAAAAATTAGTTAGAATCAATCCTTAAATCTTAAACAGTATAAATACCTTACAGTATTTGAAAATGTTTTCTCTGTCATCTCATCTGCAAATCAATGTTTCTGGCTTTCCTTGAACAATAAACCCCTGAGAAAACTACTCTGAATGGAAATACTTCTCAGCAATGCCTTTCAGTTATTCCATCAAAGATATTTTACTGCCATCCACAGGCTAAGCCACCAGTCCTCAGTTCAGTGAAGAATCGCAAACAAGACATATCATATGCTAATACAAAAATTTTAGCTTATAACTTTTCACCTTTTTGGATCTGGAGCAGGTTGCCTCTCAGGAATACAAAGGGCTGTTCCACTCTTCTTACACAACACTGGCTGTTTGGCTGCAAGAATTAAGGATGTTAAACACTTTATCAGCTGCAGCTAAGATGGATGATGTTTTTATCTAGGGAATAATTACAATGACATTATTTCACCAAGAATTAAGTTAGTCCCATGTTTATGTAGAAATCACTTTCTTTGCCACAGATATTGTGATGCCTGTGAGGCAGGGTCTGCCATGCGTTGTGACAGTGAGCAGCAGCAGCTCAGCCTGGGAAAAAAACAGAAATATTCTGCAGGGACTACAGAGGGTTATGGCACAGTACATCAACTCAAAACAGGGTGGATCTGCCCTGTGCATTAATGTCTCTGCTCTCAGGAGGAAACTTATTAAATCTTTAAAAACCTTAAGTGGTCAAGACCTTAGTTTCAGGACACATCTAAAAGGTGCCTTCTAACACCATGCAAAAGAGAATGGTTGAAAGGCATGGGATTTTCACTTTGCTCAATTCCAGAACTGGATATCTCTAAGATCCCTGTCAAGGGAGGGGAAAAAAAAGAGGCAAAATAACCTCATAGTATTCCTGCTTTGACTAGCAGCACCATAGGCATGTTGTCATCTTGCAACTGTCCATTTCTTTTTCCTCTTCTTCTAAGCCCAGGAAAATAAAGTCCTGATTTAAAAGTTTCACCACAAATGTGGAAGCGAAGAACTTCTGTCTTTGCAGCCTGCCTTTGCAGACATTTTCCCAGCTGCAGTACTTTAAGTCCTGAGGGTATAAAGAAATTTCAAAAAGACATTCTCAAGCCAAAAACTGGGGCCATTGGCCCCCTCTGAAGGGATATGGAGGAGAGTGGCTTCTCCTGTACCACTCTTGCACTTCCAGAGCATCCTAGGACTTTCCATGAGGTTTCTCATTCCCATTGTGGCTTTTCCTGTCCTTATGAGATCAGATGAGACCATGATGTGAAACTCTGTGGCAGTCAGGAAAAAGCAGCTCTCTATCCAGCTGAGGAAAAATACAGTTCTGGGTTCAGAAGGCCTCCAAGCTTGAGCTCCCTAGCAAAGATGACCAAGGAACTTGGCTTTTAGAAAAATGTCACTTAGTGGGTTTGGACTGCATTAATCCCCACAGCTGGTTCCATATTGTTCTCCTGTTTGCCTGTTGTGTTTGCACGTGAAGCACCATGGGGAGATATGGCTGGATGTCACACCTTTTCTCCATGCAGACCTGCTGCCAAGTGTTGACTGATGGAAGGAGGGCATGTTAGGTGACCAAATTGACGACTGCTTTTGGACTGTCCTTTTGCCTGTCTCTCTTTTGGGCAGTGGTAGGCTTTTCCTCAAACCCCATCCTGCCAAAATGATGCTGAAGCCTCAGACCACTCCTGGAGCTCAAGTTCAGAGTCCAACCCTGTCACATCCTGCCACCGCTAATGTAGGAAATGAGAAGCTGGGGTGAGGCAGAACATATGTAGGATCAAATCTGCTTTCAGCTTAGAAGACTGTAAGCTGCTTTGCTGCTGGGCAGATCTGGTCTTGTGCTTTTCTAACAGAACAGCTCATTTTGGGGTTTCTCATTGACCAAAGCTTTTGAAATAAAGTCATGCTAGACTAAATCTATTGCTGGCATACTTCCACTAGAGTCCTTAGCATTACTGCAAATAAGAGCTTGGCCTCTTATGATTGCAAATCATGCTAAGCTACATTAATCTGCTAATGACTCTGGAAATGGCTCCTTTAGTTCATCCCCACAGATCTCTTTCCCTTTCTTCTCCCTTGAAAGGTTTCATCAGCTGGATCAGCTGGAGAAACACCTGCTCTGTCCACATGCTGGAGAGACTGCCTGCATCCTCATCTATCAAGGAGACGGATAACACCTCAAAACAGTCTTTAGTCACTATGCTGTTCATGTCCATGACAGCATGTCAGGGGTCTTAATTGAAACACACAGGAAAGAAAATCTAGAGACTGGATCTTGACAGAGGCTCTCTGGCCAAGAGCTGTGCTGCAGGGGAAAATCGAAGTGCAGCTGAGGAGTGAGGTTCACTGAACCATCTGCATGATTGTTCTTTATCATCCTGAATGCTTGCCATCACCTAAGAATATTAGCATATTTCCCACGTTGAATCTTTCCTCCCACTGATTGCAGGACTATTTATATTCCCAAATGACTTCTACTGTCACTGGGAAATCCAGCCACTTGGTAGCTTGTTTAACAATGTGGACCGTTAGCCTGAAGCAGTTCAGGAGACAACTTGCACATATCCATGCTTTAGATTAATTTCTGTGCTATTTCAGGAGGCTGTTGCTTGGCATGAATATTAGCTCTTAAGAGAGGCTCATTCTCTTCTCCCTCTTTTCCTTTTTTTTTCCATTTTTTTTTCTAATTTTTTTTTTTTTTTTCCAGTTCTGGCAATATGGAGACTGGGTGGATGTAGTGATAGATGACCGGCTGCCATTCCTAGATGGAAGATATCTGTCTGTACAGCCTCGAACATCAAATGAATTCTGGCCATCCCTGCTGGAAAAAGCATATGCCAAGTAAATATACCCAGTCTATTCTTCCACCTACTGCTGAATCCTTTATATGGGTGGTTTCACTCTCTGCTTTATGCAAAGCACACATGGAGGAGTTCAGGCTAATAGCTGTGTATGTTGTACTGTGATTATGCAAGTAACTGTGGCTGCTTGCAAACACAGGGCCAACATAACCTGGAGATGTTCGTCTCAGGCTGAAGACCTAAATGTACCCAGTCCAACTCAGGGATGTTATTGCCTGAGAATTAAAATTATAATTAAATTGAACAGGATAATAGTTGGTGATACAAAAGGGGCTAGGAATCTTTCTACTTTAAGCAAACTTCTTTGCCTCTGTTTTCCTTTTCATATTTTTCTCTGTTTAAAACTGCAGACTCTAAGCAGGGATTACCTCTGTTTACAGTCACTAATCAGAGATCATGTAGATATTTGAAGCAGGCAATGAAAGGAAGCATGACTGAAGAATATGTCCAGGCACAACACATGCATTCCTGTGAGTCTCTGGTCAGCTCTCACTTCACGCAGACTACTCTGACTCTTGGTTGAGGTCCCCAGAGTACTGCAGGGTTAATAAAGATTAATAAAGAGATAATAATTTTTTTAAAGTCCTCTGAAGAGTGAAGGGATCAGTGTGTGGTCCCTTAGCATCTGTAACATTGCCCATTATTAATTATGCTGAAGAGAAATTTCTTTGCTAGGGGTAGTATGAAGGGCTGGAACTTGTTACATATGCCCTACGTCAAGCTGGTGTAACATTTGCAATGCAGTAAATAGGAGCTGAAGAAGAGAGCTAATTATTTTGGCAGATTTGGTCAGGAATAAGCAAATGTTAAAGCAGCATCTGAGCAACTCAGAAATAGGATACATTTTGCCCTGAGATATCTCAGAAAAGTTGACTCAGGATTCAGTATCAATTTCCTACATAAGATTTTAATTACAAAACAAACCAAACCTCTATTAAATTAAAGTTGCAAGCAATGCTGTTTATGTGATTCCCATTTGAGAAGTTTTTCCCCAGTGCCCATGACAAATTCTTTTCATCTGTGTAGGACAAGGACAACCCTTCAAAATACAATTAGCTGCAGACTTCATTTGATTACATTCATTAAATACAGTGTGTATGGTGGGGTTTAACAGCATGCTCTACCTGCTCTAAGTACAGCATGTTCCAGCTTATTTGCTGTCTCAATAAAAAGCACACGATAAAAACAACAAGGACTGTGTTGGCAATATTAAATTATTATCCTATTACTGCACTCTAGCAGAGTGAATTGGGAACAATGCTGAAAACTTGTTTCTGTCTTGCCTTGGGAGCATGGGCAAATACCTTCACCTCCCTCTTCTTCCTATTCCTCATTTGCAAAAGGCATTTTTGTCATTTTTGTGACAAGTCATAACAAAATACAATGTAGAAACTAACAGTTCAGCTCCATCTGATATGAAACATCCATTTGAACTAGACACCCTTGGTTTCCTTCCTGTTCAGAAGAAGGAAACTGGATACTTTGAGATGCATCTCATCTCCCTAAAATGTCTGTGTTGGCATGAGATGTACCTTATTATTCTCCACTGTCTGTACATAACTCTAGACAGCTGTCTCAGATGTGGATGAATACATAAGTAAAAGTCCCTCTTTGCCTCATTCATTCCACAGGACATGTTGTGTCTGGCCGTGTTTTCAATCACGTTTCCTTTCATTATGTGGCCTCAGTGTCTACAGATCCCGGGCTCACCCCATGCTCATCACCTCAATGCACATGTCCATCTTGGAAGCCATCACTATGCGTTGTTAATTAAAACACAGTGTAAAGACTAATTTTTTTTTTTTTTTTTTTTTTTTTTTCAGGTTGCGGGGCTCCTACCAGAACTTGCATGGAGGCTACCTTTCTGATGCTTTAGTAGACCTCACAGGTGGAGTCCAAGTGCAGTTTTCGCTGAAGGATCCCCCTCCTGATCTGGAGGAGATACTGAAAGCTGCTGACAAATCTCAGTGTCTGATGGGGTGTACCACCTCAGGCCCGGTGAGTCAGGCCAGTAGCATGCCTTTATTGGTTTACCGTGTTTGCATAAAGTTTTCACTCTTTTGAGTGAAAAAGGAAGTCCATAACCATTCTGTACATAGTTGCAGTCTATGGATGCCTGAAGAGATCTTGGCAGCAGAAAGCAGATAAGGTTATGCAGTAAGGAGTGTAAAGGCTTTTGGGTAGATGTAGATAGATTGGTGGTCTGTCAGAGAGGGGTCTGTGGCTTCTCTCCTGGCTAATTCCACTACAATAGAGTGGTATTCTCTTACAGCAGGGCTGATTTTGGCCTCATAGCTTTGTGATTGATTCTAGCAAGGCCAGAATTCACCTCTCTTCTGCAAGAGGATGCTATTATTGCTTTGTGATTTGCAGGCTACTGGTATTAGCACTGGGAAGTTGTAGAAAGTTTTATGATGCTTCCCTTACACCATGTAAGAGAAGACTGCAAAGTATGTGACATTGTTCCTGTAGTGCCTGGTTCATTGGGACACAAGGCTCGCCTGTTGCAAACAAGCCAAGGACTAGCCCCTCAGCTCAGGTGGCTGACAAACGGCTGTGAGTAGCAGGTAGATTCTGACAGTGACCCAGTCCTGGTCATTCTGCAGTTGCAGCAGCTCTGGACAATTGACTTGCAAATATGTGAAGACCCATGGTCTTGTTAAATTTACTGGCCTGCTTATGGCTGCAGTGGGAACAACAGTCACATTCTTCTGGAGCCAGTGTATCTGAGATACTGCTGTAGTCAAAACCAAGTCTCTTTCTGCCATGCCAAATGACAGTTCTGGGAGCTGATGGTCATACCTCTGCAGTGTGACAGAGAGCTAAAAGCTGTGCCTTCTCTCTGCAGATGAAGAGGAACATAGAGGTGAGGAATGGGATTGTACAGGGTCATGCCTACACTGTCACAGGAGCTGTGAAGGTAAGGTCAAGGACTTGCTCCTACCTGGTGGTCTTGTACTGCTAACCCACTACAGGGCAATCACACTGCTGTTCCATTCAGTCATTTTAATTAGCTTCACGTTTAGAAGGGATTGTTGAAAGCAAGTAGCTCAAATTCCAGGAGTTGGAAGGATTCTGGCACAATGGGAAGAGGGAGAATATCTGAATCTATAATTTTTTTCCAATGGAAAAATGCAACTTAAATTTACTTTTATTTTGGGACACTTAAACAGCAAATACAGAATATTTGGGGATTTTCATTCTATGCTGACTCTTAAAAAACTCACTTTTCTGTTTCAAATGGGAATAGAAACACTGGCTGAAATTGTGGGATTTGTCATATGATGCAAATCTACATATGTTCAACTCAATCACAAGCTGCCAGAAATCACTGTGTGAAAAATAAGTAACTCACTGCTTCAAAAACAGCATTTCTCCATATTTTAAAGCTGTTCTACTCATGCAGAACTTTTCCTGACTAGATATTAATATTGCTGATTTGAAAACAGGACCAATTTATCACACAGATCAAAAGAAATGAAGGATATTTTACAACCAGAAGTCAAAACATGGCTTACCCCATTAAGCTGTAGTGCACACAGGGAGAGTTAACAGTGAGCAAGGCCAAGAAGGAAACCAAACAGTGGCTATGCTATCAAGCAAGATAGCTACAACACACTTTAATCTCAGAACCTAAAGTACTTTGGACTGGGGACACTGTCTTCCCTAAGCTATTTTCTCCCCTCTCCCCCTCTCTTTAATGGTTTTCTGTATGAGCTTGGCTTTGGTTCATAGCCCTCATGCCACAGCATGCTTGGTGTCATCATCAGTCAGTGTGCTGCTCCTCAGAGGACACTTGCTCATAGTCAGGAGGCTCCAAAATGGAAGGATGGTTGTTTCCAGGCTCCCAAGAAGGCCCCAGCTGGCTCTTCCCAGGAGAGGAGAGGAAGCAGGCTGTTTCAGGTTCCTGCTCTTCATGACGTGTGCGGAGAGGAGAAACAGTTTTTGCCCCAGCTTACAAGAGTGCCAAGGCATGCAGGGGGGTGTCCTGTGAGGAAATGATTTGAAGCTGGCCAGGGCCTGAGCCTGTGCCTGAGAAGAGACTGTCATGGGAGTTGTTTCCAACACTGCTGTGTACATAACAAGAGGCAGAAGCAAAAGATTTGCTTCTCCTTTCCACTTACACCATTTTGGCTTCGCTGGCAAAAGTGAGTTGTGTCTGGCTTAAACCAACGACACCAAGAAGAGAAGAGCACCAGAAGTTCCAGATGTTGGAAACCACGGTACTGTAGATACAGAGCCACTGATTCTGTTTATCATCATCTCTCTGTGGTGTCAACATTCACTCCAGTCAGTCTGGTGACCTCGTTCCTCAAAGTCTCTGCCTTTGCTGACTCACTGAATCAGATGTGCAGAATTAGGCACTGGAATTTCCCAAGGCCATTGAAGTCATGCAGTGTGGCAGGAATGCTGCTGCTTCCCTCTGTGTCAGCTCTTCACTGTCCTGGGGAAAGAAAAATGGGTTCAGTTTTCTCCCACACATCATTCCCTTACAATGTAGCAAAAGGCACTGATTTTTATCTGCAGTCAAATGAGATCAGAAGTTAAACCAGGTCGCCAGGGTATAAAAGAAGATCCATTTTATTACCCATCTCTTCACTGAATATCACAATTGTGAAAAGCTGTGACCGAGTTTGTATTTCTTTCCTCTTTACAGATACGCTACAAGAATGGCTGGAAACATATTATCAGAATCTGGAATCCATGGGGCCATGGGGAGTGGAAGGGGCCCTGGAGTGATAAGTATGGTCTTAAAGCTTTAATGTCATAAGGATAATCACTCTTTTATAGGTTTATTGTAAAGAACCTCTGCATTGCACCCATTACAATGAAGCAGACATTTCTAAATCAATTCATTATAAGCAATATTTCCATCCGCAAAGCAACTGCCCACAGAAACCCAATCCAGGGAAAACTAATGCAGCAGTGGTTTTATATGTGCTCCTCACTAGGCCTAGCTCATGTATCCCTTTTTGTCTATATGCACATTTTTCCCAGTGGGTAATTCCAGAGAAGTCATGAGTGAAAGAGTTGTTATTGCCTGGAGTAAGCTCTGGCCATGCCCCTAGGTGCTATCTGACTGCTTCGATTGAATGCTCCTGCAGCAGTGGTGCATCCACCTTCCTGTTCCTTCTTTCTCTCCCATGAGTCTGAATCTGAGGACAGTTAGCTGAGACCATGAGAGTAGGGCAGTATTTTTATGCAGTATTGAAAGCAGAGAGACAAAAAGTGTCCTTGGTTATTGCAAAGGCAAAGTGCTACTGGATGACTTGAACTGATGTTTTGGATCCTGCATGCAGCTTTGGAAATGCAAGGATCACTTCGCTGCTGTGCATATAAGCTAACTTCTCTTTCCTGATGAAAGGAATGATACAGAGGAAGACTGCAACAGTATTCTGTAAATAAATAGATATTAGTTTCCCTGGTGGAATTGCATCAGTGTTTTTCTGACTAGAGAGATGTTCATGTGTCACTCTTATATGATTTAAAAGCGTCCCACTTCTCCTTGTTGCTAGGATCACTCACAACTTCTCTGCTGAAAAAATTCAGGCTAGCATGTTGTGTCTGGATGGGTTGGCAGGTGGTGCAGACATGTTTAAGGCTGGGATAACAGACATCTACTCAGACACAATCCTCCCATTTTTTGGAAGGGTGAACTATAATCCTAACTGTAATTGAAATGTCAGTAGAGTGTGTTCACAGGTAAACTGCATAAATTAGTAAATTACTGATTCATGCTCTGTTTATTTATCTTAAACTCTGCAGAAAGTACAATTATCACTTAATTATAAACACTTTGCTTGGAAACAGCACATTTGACTGGCTAATGTGCCCTCTATATGTCAATGTAATATCAGCACTTCAGAGTGCTATGCCTTGGTACCCCACTCCAGCATGGACACAGGTGACTGGGGCTTGGAAGGCAGAGGCAGAATTCCCCATCCCATGGTGGGCAGCTCAGACGGGAACAGCAAAGGTGCATAGCTTTGCTGGCCTTGGCTATGATAGTATCGAGCACAGTCCTGTGCCCAACACGCAGTTTGCTCACCCCTTCCTGCTCCCTCATGACTTGACAGGCTGGTTAGAGGAATTGGCTGGCCAAAGAGATGGAAAATTGTGCTTCACATCTGCTTGTTGATCTGCTTGTTGATTTGCTCCTGTTTGCAGCTCTCCTCAGTGGGACCATGTTCAGCCTGAATGCAGAGAAGCCCTCCTCAGAAATAAGAATGATGGAGAATTCTGGTATTTTCCTATCAATCCTTTTGTCTATCGGGTTTTCTGTTCATGTTCATTATGAAAAAAGAAGCAATTTAGGCAATTATCTGCTCTTAGTGGTGGCTCAAGGCACCTTGTGTTAGCTGTGTGCAAACAGCAAATTGGAGATTGTCCTGACTCCATGGTTTCAGAGGAAACAAGACCTGGAGAAGTGGAGCTGGCCAAAATTAAGTAACAAGCTGGTGAAAAAAATTAAAAGTGAGAGAAGTCAAAACCCGGCTCCCTGAGACGTAGTCATTTTGTCACACTGCCCATCCCCACAAAGTACCTAGCATGAACCTTGGACTGGCTGGTGCTCAGAGGGGACAGGTGACTGAGCAGATCATAGAGCTTATGCACTTGACTACTCTGCAGGTCCTTGTGGTTTTTCACTGCCTCCTGATTACTCTCACATCCTGTTTAGCTGTGTGTGAGCCATCCTTTAGAAAAGCCATTATTATTCAGAAAATGCACACTTGCCCCATGAGTGTCTGAGGAAAGCAGGGGGGAACAGCAGGCTGCTCTGAGATAGACACTGCAGGCTTGAGCAAAGCATGAGTGTGGGGCAGGACAATGCAGAAGGACAAAGCAAGGTGCAGTAGCAGAGATGTGCTGGAGATATCAGGGCTCCACCTAGGTACTGATGACCATGCCCTGTAATTTTCCTGAGGCTTCAAGTGCAGTTAGGACAGCACAGATGCGTTGAGAACTGACCTCTTTTGCATGTTATCAGCCAACTCAGCTAGTCCTCTGCAGTCCTCCTTTAAAGACATGGAGAGTGAACATGAGTGCCTGACCCATGTCTCAAACCGAAAGGTGAGATTTTTCTCCTTCTCTGCAGGATGTCTTGTAAAAACTTCCAGGAGCAATTTTCCTGGTTGTATATATGTAACAACACCCCAACGTTTCTGGACTTTGGGGATCAACGCTGCACAACATGGTCTGAGGACAGGCATGTCAACCTGTGGAGTCCAGCCCTCGCTACAGGCAGGAACAACTCTTCTGCAGGTAATGAATGTTCACTGCAGTCACCCAGTCTCTCTCCACTGGTGCTTACAGTGAGGCATTAGCTCTGAGCACCTAACTACAGAAATATTGATTGCCAGTTGTTAATGCCTGCCCTTTCCCATTACAGCACCTATCAGCTAAAGAGGCAGAAACAAAGCAACAGCAGTGGCTGCTGAGTTAAAACAGGAGACTTGTGATTTAGAAACCCTGAACCCTTCAAATCAAAATGTTCTTGTCTGTCTTCTTTCAGCCACTTGCTAGGGTGTTATTGTGGACCTCTGAAATTAAATTGATATGAAAGTGTTGTGCTATAAAGCTCTATTTTTGAGGGTAGAAAGACCTTCAAGCAGATAAGACCACTGGTTTTACTGCCTGTGCAAGGACTCTTCTGGCATTGCAAGCTCTGATTAGTAGTGGCATTTTTTTTTAAATTTTTATCTTATCTCAACTATCTTACTTTTCTACAGCTGCATCACTATTTGGGCTCTGTGTTTTTAATCTAAGATGGCAGCATGTGGTCAGTGAAGGAGCTTTTTTTTTTTTTTTTCTGCAATGCTGATCCCTGACCTAGCAGCAAACAGGTTTCAGCTTACAGGCTTCAGCCTCCTCCTCATAACCTTGATCACCATGTCTCAAGGAGTGATAACAAAGCAGTGCCGGTGATGCTGCACACCATGGGCACTGAGACTGACTGAGGAGGTACAGGGGCTGAACCAAGAGCATGTGGGCAGAGCCATTTTTCTTGGAGCTATGTTTTCCAACAGCCCTCTAGTAAAGTTTCTGTCCAAGTACAATCGGGTTAAATTGCACCATTCAAGGCCACTCAACGCACCTTCATGGCTTCAAGTCTAGACTGGTTTAAGCAGATGCTGCCATCTTGGTCCCTTTTCCCCAGTTTGGGCATTTTACTGCTTTCTTATCAGGATGCTTCCTGTTAACTAAAACCTTGGCCAAGAAGAAGCCTTTTTTCTCTGGTGTTCAACAGTCTGTCTTGTCCATCACAAACTCTAACAAGAAGGAAGGGGCAAATAGCTTTGGACCATTTTGGCTTTTTCTTTTATGTCTTTCTCATCTCCAAGCCACAGACCTTTTCAGCTCAGCCACTAGTCTCATCAAGAATCACTGCTATTCTGCCTTGGGGAAAGTATGCCATGTAGGTGAAGCAGGTGTAGCGGGGTTGAGAAATCTGCATGACTTTTATGACTTTTCTAGAGATTTCTAGCATATTAATGTGCAATTTTTTAACTCCAGTTGCCTCAACTCCTAATGGTAATGTAGAGACTACAGTGCTCTGTTGTATTGAAAGGATCTTGGAGCAGTAACTACCTGTTCCTCTGGGTCCATATAAGTAAGATCTTACACAGTAGGCTACTATGGGGACATCTATGTGGCTAGTATTAATCTATTAATACTTTCTCAGCAGGACCAGTTTCAATGAACCTCCAGTATTTTTTCAAAGTGCCAGATTATGACTCGAAAACCTACAATGTAGTCATTTCACTCATGCAAAAACATGCTGAGGATATGCAGAGTGCAAAAAACCTTGAGATTGGCTTTTTGATCACCATGGTAAGCACAATCAAGTATCATATAGGCACTGTTTTTTTTCTGTGTGGCTTATTACACCTGTACATGGAAGTGAAAGGCTGAATTGCTTTTTGAGTTGTAAAAAGAGAGCAATCAGTATTTGGGGTGAATTTCTGGATGCTTTCTACTGTAGAACATCACAGGAAAAGTAGAGTTAGGTAGGCTTAGTTTCTTTTATTCATGTCTTAAGAGAGGAAAGGTTGAACTTTTAGTTCTGTAGCATTCCAAAATAGCCCTGGGAGACTCAGGGAGTCCCTGGGTTACAAGACATGACGGGGCAATATCCTCTGTGACCAGCGCTACTGGTGACATGCCTTGCTGGCCTGGCACAGGGCTTGGTAGCCAGCAATAACCACAGCACTTGAGCAGTACTCCAGGTCTAGTAGGGAATTGAACAGCCTCTTGTTCCCCGAAATGGGCCTGTCTTACTCATCCCCCTTTTTATATGACAGTAATGCCATGCAAGACCCATTTACAAAATACATGAAAGGTTTTGCTCAAGACTGGTGCAGAGGCAATCCACTCAGATAACTGGGACCTCCACTACAGTTTCCCTGGGTTCTTTTCTTGGTAACTGCCAGGAGGTGTCATTTCAGGAGCATTTGTTGTCAGAACATTACTGGGCTTACCGAAGCCCAATTGCTAGTGCAGATGGATGCTAGCTTTTTCCAAAGTGTTTTTGTTGTTGGCTGAGGATGGTGGGAGGGGGTTGCTCTTAACCTGAAGAATGAAAGGAAACAGCGATTGCTAATGACCCTAACTTCACATTCTCCTAATCACTGGAGAGGTTTGCCTTAGTCCCAGACTTTAAATAATTGATGCCATGAGTCTAAAAACTCCTCATAAATTAAGTGCATGGCTTTGTAGCTCATAAAAAAACAGTATCTGAGAAATAAAAGATGTCATAAAAAGAGTATCCCTCCAGCAAGTGGAACTCATAATGCAAGGAGATCCTTTGCCTGGTGCAGATATCAAGCCTGCAGGACTCTGTGGGGCCAACTCCGTGTGCCACTCGGAAAGATCTGCTGCTCCTGGTACATGGGGAACTCATTCTTTCCAGCATCCTCATCAGCTGTCCCCCAACAGTCACCAGACATGGAGGTCCCTGCATGCTCTTGCATGATGCATGTCCACCTTGATTAGTTACCCATTTTAACAGAAATGACCCTCACTGGGAGGTGATGGCATAGGTCTTAGGTCCTTTGAAAAGAGGTTGTTTAATTAGGAAGTAGAATAGGGGACAGGTTTGCTCTATTCTTTCTTTATATTTAAACTTTCCTTTGTCCCCTCCAGTTGATGCTCAGGTGTGTTCACTTAGTTTTCCTTTCTCTCAGTATCTTACCAAGGATGGATGAGTTCTATGAGTATGTCAAGTCTGGATGACATGGCCTCTGTGGGCTGCCAGCCCATAGCTCACCTCAGTCTCAGTTTGGGCTTCTGATCCTAGATTATTTCCTACACAGGAGCTGAAGGGCAAGGCCATAACAGATTATTACTAGAGGCACCAGGGTTACTGTGGAGTACCTGGTCAGTGAGGGAAAAGGGGCAGTTATGCTGCTCTGTAATGCCATAGCTTTTAGTAATGTAATGATACTGGTGCAAATCCACACAGCAGATTATACAGAAATATTCCCCCAATGACACAGCCTAAGTATTTTAACATGAGAGCTGATTTATGAGCTCCTCACAGCCAACCCAGTGTCCTGCCCTGATGGCAGCAAAAGCGAAGTCCAGGAGCTAAAACCAGGATAGGTATACAGTGCTGTTCCCTTGGTTTATTTTCCAGTGTTTAGCCTCAGTGCCTGCGGGCAGTCAAAGGTGGCATCTTTGCATAAAAGTTTACAAGGGGTTTTCTTTGAACAAGGAGAGTACAATTACTAAGGTTGATGTGGCTTCACTCTTCCTCCCTGAACTGCTTTCACTGCCATTATTCATTAGCAGCATCATTCATTGTTCAGTAACTTTTAAGATGCATCAAATTGTTGCTGTGAAGTAAAAAGACTATTATCACTTGGCAGGATGAGAGGGGAATGCAGTATGGGCAAGGATGCAAACCAGAATGGACATATCTGATAGCTCTAGGAAGCCTTTGATTAAATATAGACGTGGAATGCTAACACATGGCTGTGAGGGAAGTTTAATGTTGTGTGATAGAGCTAAGCAATGTATAGAGGCTGATTCTTATCTCACACCGGTTTTGACTCCATTGAGATATTAATCTGTTTCTGCTTTTTACCAGAAGGAATGTGGAAAGAGACCCAAAAGTAAAAAGAGGAATACACCATTTATTTCTTTGCAGCACTGCCCATTTCTATCTGCTCAAGATCTGACCCATAATACTTGGCTGTCTACATACCTCCCAGCCGTCTGTAACAGTAGTCATCTTTTTTTTTTTTTTTTTTCCCTCCCAAAATAGCAGTTTTATGTTATTTTCTCCCAAAGGCACGGCTCATAAATAATTCTGCCATGCTGTATAACCATTCTAAATGGAATTTATACATGCTGATGTATTTTGGGGAATATGTTTAGTAAGGGGTTTTTATTATGCTATCTTTACATGTCATCATAGTAATAGCTGTTGCATTATATTTATTTCATCTCAGCAAAAAAACTGGAATAATAGGAGAAAGATCGGAATATTTGTTTTCTTATGACACTTGCTGGAAGGTTTACATTATGATTCTTGAAGTATTGTCATCTGGGTGAGACGCTTAGTGAGTTCTCTGACCACTCTGAGTCATGCTAGATCTCAGGGAAGTTTTAGTAGGAGTATTCAGCCTTGATTTCTTCATGAACTCCAGTTTGATTAATGTTAATTGAAGTTCTCTTCAAATCCACTTAGATTCTTTTTGGCTTCTGTTTCTTTCAGTTCTTGCACCCTTGTGCATTTCTGATGTGTCCTTGATGTCACCTGGATGGGCTTTTTATGCCACTGGGGAGATTAAGGCATGTTAAATGCAGAGTATATTTAGAGAACTGTGGGAATGCAAGACTGCTGTGATTTACTTTGGTTCCTGACATGAAGGGGAGATAACCAGCTATATTTTTCTTTTAGGAGAACTCCAAAGTTCTGAAACACAAGTTTATTCCGACTCGAGACGTGACCAAATACTTTATCTTGAGCCCAGGAACCTATGCTGTTGTTCCTGCTACAACAGAGGACCAAGAATTTGAATTTCTCTTACGAATTTTCACAAAGAGTCAAGACTACAACAAGTAAGGTGATAAATACTCCTTAAAGACCCCAGACTCACAGTGTACCAAGATTTAACAATTTAATGTCAAGAAAACTAATGTGGCAATTTGCTTTTAACATACTCTAGAAGCATGTTGGGATCACACAGCTGAGTGTTAAGCACCATGTTGAGAGGGATCAGATGTATGGTCAGATGCATAGTGGTGACCACTGCAGAAGAGGGCAACAGCTCATCTGCAGCCACCAAGGGTCTCAGATTTGGTACAAAGAGCCACACAAGTGAGCAATAATTGTGAGATATGCCCCCTGCCCCCAATTGTGGCAAAATCTCTCTTTACTGAAAGGAGGACTGAGAGCTTGTTTTCCTTAAGAGCTGTTATGTAGCTGCTTATGTTATGCCGGCTGGACGCCGGACAGATCAGGTCCCATTCTGCTCAGAGCAGGACCTAATGATGCAAACAAGAACAGTGAAACCTTGATCCTTTCACCCAGCCATCTCACAGACAGGCTGATAGGGCTCCCTGTGAGCATGAGAAGGGCCTTGAAGATAATTTTAGTGGTAAAATTGTATCTTAGTTCATGCAAAGGCAGCTGTTACCACATTTTCACCTAAATACTTAGGTGTGCTTTACGTAAAGAGCAAGCCCTAGCATTCAGCCTTACCAAATGACCTTCAATCATCATATGTGCAGTGGCTTTCCTTCAGCAAGCTTTATAGTGGAGGTGATTGCAGATCTTACTTCATAGGCCCATATCTTAACAGTGAGATTGCCTTCTAGACTTTGGCCCCTGGCAAAAATAGTCTAGAACCAACCAAGGCACCTCCTTAATTACAGAAAACAAACATGAGAAGTCTGTGCTTTGGGCTGAACTGCCTTCAGCATGGTGAGTCGTGCACAAGATGGCTCAGGCTGGGGAGGTGGCACTTTCCAGGAGAGCCTCTGACCTTCACATACCTTCCTGAGCTAGGTCAAGCATGGGGATCCCCTTCCTATGGGTCTCTGCAGCACTCACCAGTATAATAGTGCAGATGCTATAAAAATAGCATCTGGCTTGCCTAGTTTCTCTACCAAAAGCAAAACTCAAGTACTGAATGTTGCTACTGAGTCTCAGAAGGAATGGTGACCCCATCTCGGTTTCAGGCAGTCTGCAGACATTTAAAAGATGTTGCTGTTGAATAGCCCAGATGCTGTTTTTATTCCTGATTATTAAAGTAGGCAAAGAAAGAGCAGGTGAAAACTTTATGTGGCTCAACGCAGGGCAGCCCTGTCTTCTGTGTGGTGAGGTTAGTCCTGGCATGCTCAGAGTGAGACAAATTACCCTTTCTCTGCTGCATGTGCCAGCAGGATTGGCTCAGGGAAGGCAGTGGCCCCAGAGCAGCCAGAGGATCATGCTCATGTCTGCTTGCACAGAAGGACTCAGGACTGGTGCAACAGGCTTGACTGAACCGGGGCAGGCTGGGTGGTGTGGGTGCTGAGCATCTTGTGGGGCCCCGGGCTGGGTGAGTGCTCCTGTTGGTGCCTGCCTTCTGCCACATCTGCAGATCAGTGCTCTGAAAAGGCCCGTTTTCTCCCAGTTTGACTCTTGTAACTCTTTTCTAGGAACTCAAACTTCCCACCCAGCCCAGTGCTGCCGATGGTGAGTCTTTGAAAACTGATATAGTGAATGGTTCCAGCAAGCTGACTGTTCAGTAGCCACCTCTACTGACTCCTCTTCCTCCTTCACTACATACCAGACACCTCTCTGCTCTTCCATCCTTTCACCATCCAGTACCTGTCCCAGAGTTCGAATCTGGGACCCTGTGACCTTGCTGGGAGAACAGGTGACCTGCCTGGGGTAACCCTCTGGAGAGACAGGAGTGATAATGAAGCCCTTCCTCTTCACGTATGCCTCTCTCAGAGACTGATTTTTGAAGGAAACAAATCTTACACTGTCCCTCTGTCATCCTGTCCATCTGTCCTTTTCACCTTGCCACCTTTAACACTTTGACCAACCAAATACAGCTAGGGGAAGAGCATTTCAAAGAGACTGAATTCTTGCAATGTCTGTAAAATTGTTATATATCTAAGGAGGAGAGAGGGTGAAACTTTGATGAAAAAATCGCAGCTGGAGTTTGACCTCTTTTAAAGAGACCTCACAACTGAGAGTAGGGTCATATGTGCCTTCCTCATGGGAATGGCTTCGTTTAAGTGCTTGCACCCTATAAAGCACAGGAGCCCATAGAGGTGAGGCCCAAACCAGATTTATTCTGATCATCGGGGTATCTTCAGAGACATAAGGGAAATTACACTTCAAAACTGATTGTGCCTCTAGATCTACCCACATTTCAACCTGTTCATCAACCATCTATTGCTGGACTTCCTCACTGTGAACTGTGCAGATTGCCAGAGCTGTTCCAGTCCATGCTGCTGTCTCACTGGTTGCTTGCAAAATCCTGCTGCTGAGAGGCTGCTATTTATAGCAGTGCAAACTCAGCTCAGGTCTTGGAAGCCAAAGGTGTAAAGCTGCTTCAGAAGAACAGAAAACAGAGTCCTTTCCTTGTGATTCTTTTTCCAGCCCACAATTAAGCCCCATTAGAGAGGTAGTGTAAATGGTGGGTTATTATCTCTTTCCATTGACAAGCTGTCAGTTTACTTGGCTGTTGCTGTTAGCCAGTGTTTTGACTTTGATGAATGATGGTACCCACAATTTCTGTTCTTGTTCAGGTATTTGGGCTTCACTAGTGTGAATTATCTCACACAGAGCTGAAGGCATTGGGGCTTAAGCTTAGATTTTTTTGGGAAACTTTATAATGTTAATGATAGTTCCTCTTAGTGCCTGGTGGATCTCAGTGAAGGGTTGAAAAAAGTCACTTAACCATTGAATTACAATTGCTCAGGTACAGTCAAGCCTGCCTTGGGCTTGAGAAGGTACAAGAGAATGGAAAAGTCAACTACTGCTCTATTTTCTTGGTTCACATGAATCTTCACCTGCCCTAAGCCAGTGGCTTCAACTAGGGGCCATCAATAAGGATCAGGATTTGTATCTCTATTCTCATGCAATGGCATGCTGAACTTCACCCTGGATGTGTTCTGCTGTCTTCCTCAGGCCCTGAGCTGCTCCTTCCTGGTTATGCTAAGAGATAACATCCAAACTATGCTTCTTCCTTCATTGCAACAGCTGTTCCTCACTCCTAGTCCACTTTACTTTAGGAGTGTTAAAACTGCAGCCTATACTGTACATTCTCTGCCCTCTCTAAAGTACTGTTTGGATCTGCATACATGCCTCCAGTTGTTTCATAACTGAATTATTTATATGTTTACTTTGTCTTTGATGTAGGATGTACCAGGAGAGAACCAGGACAACTCCTATAAGGCTGTCTTCCTAAGATACGCTAAGCAGGTATCCTATCTAAAGCATCTTGCTGAAAAATAAAAATGGCACGTGGACTTACAAAAAGAAAAACTAGTCTATGATGTTGATACAAATCTGTTTAGAAAAATGTTTTTTGGAAGTGTAGCTCCATCCTCAAGTGTATACCCTGAAAACAGTATTGATTGACCTACCAAAACCCCCAGAAAAATGGGACATTGAGCTGGGATAGATTGGCTAGCCCCATGTATCAGTGGAGAATTGGAGATCTGTGGTTGTGCTGGTGATGGGCTTGCATGTGTACTTTTTTTTTTTTTTGTCTTTAGTTTGTTTATTTACTGAAAGCAATTAGAAAGCCTTGGGTATTCCCCCCTCTCATCAACATCGTTTCCATTTGCCTTCACAGCATTTGGAAACCACACATCAGCCAGCATTTGAGTAATTGATTCCTGCTCTTTCAGAGCCAAACTCTGTGTGTTCACAGGAGATGCTTTTAATGGTTTAATAAACTGTTATAAAGAACTCCTCAACTTAGTCAAGAGGAAAAAGTATCACTGCCAAAAGTCTTTGCGCAATGGACCTCTTGCAGTTAATAGTTGTATCAATGCATGAAGGTGAAAATGAACACAGTCTGCCACGCTGAATGCCCTGAGTGTTCTCGGGAGGGAGGCAGTCAGGTTCACCCATGGGTGGCTCAGAGCGCCTGCACTCCCAGCTCGCTCACCCAGCTGCCTGGTGTGCCTGCCCGCTGGCATCGCCCTAGCTAGGGGCTGCTGAAGTCAGCAAGGGTTCCCGTGAAGGTGCCCCACGGTGATGGGAGTGCCTATAACTCCCCTGAAGACTCTTGTGGGGAAGGACAAAGAGTGGCCTGGCAGCGTGGGGGGGGTTGTTACGCTCCCGAGGGGGTGCTGCTGCTCCTCTGATATAAGCAGAGGTTCTTCTTGGTTGTTGCAGTGCATGAGTAAAGACGTTTCAGGCAGAAGTGGCACAGGATAAAGCTTTACGCTCACAGGCCTTTCTTTGCATTCTATTCTGCATTAGGGCTCAGCTATTGATGCTTCGCAGCTGCAACAACTCCTTAATGAAGTGATCCTGCAAGGTAAAGCTCTTACAACCCAGTTAATGTCTTTGGTGCTTCCCTATCCTTAGCCTAGTGTAAATTAGACAGAGGATTTAGTGGTGTCCGGATGGTTCTCAGAAAATCCTCAGTGTGGCTTACTGCACTGCTGGATCTTGAAGAATGAGAAGTACCTCCACCAGGGTTCCTTTACGTACACCACAGTTTGGTTTTATTTTTTAAAGAAAATCAAAGTAATGTTCACATGAAGAAGGCTATGCAACCCAGACCAGATGCTAACAGACTCTTTAATGCATGATCATCAGCAAAGTTGTGCATCTGCTTGACAGCCAAATTTCACCCTCCTCTCTCCCTCCCAGTTCTGCCAAGGAATAGCCTCTGCTTCACAGACCTACCCTACTCCATGCTGCCTTTCTCCTGGATGTCCCTTCATCCCCCATGAGCATCCCTTCCTGCTCTGTGCCTCACCAATTGCAGCAGGAACTCAGTCCCTGGCTGGGCTGCACCAGTGAGAGAGTGCCCCAGGGAGCTGTGTTTGCCATGCTCCTCACTGTCACCTAGTTTCTCCCAGTTCAGCCCTGGCCTGCATTGTTCCTCTGCAGAGGCCTTGAGCTGGCTTTCAGCATTTCCCAGCCTTCCTTACCTGCCCACCTCAAAACTAGCATGAGGCAGGGGCACAGTCAGGGAGCTCAAACCAACTCAGTCATGCGCAAGGTTCAGAATGCCCTTAGGACTAACTAGTTCAGCCTAAATGTCCTTTCTTGGCACTGCCATTTCCCTTAACCTTATTTCAAGAGGGAAAGGTTTCCATCAGGGCAGGTATGTGGGCAGATACTGTGCAGAGTAGCACAGTGAACACTGTGAACCCAAACAGGGCACGTGTCCTTGGGGAAGGGAGCAATAGGGATGTCTGAGATGCATCAGACTCCCTCAGTGGACCACATCCTAGCACTTCCTGCTGCTGTTTGAGAACTGAGCCAGATATGGGGCTTTTTAGCTCCGTGAGCATTCAGACTGGTATCCCTCTTCCCTCTGAATGGTGACCTGATGCCTCTGCCACCCCTTTGCTCTCACTAATTCCTTCTGTTTTGTCAATCCTCGCAGATGAAATGACCAGCCTGGGAGGAAGATTCAACTTCGATTCGTGCAGAGGCATTTTAGCTCTGATGGATGTATCCTTTCAGCAGAAGCAATAAACTTCCCCAGTGCTGCCCATCCTTGTCTTGAGTTATGGCTGAGCTGAATGTCCCGCTGTGAGAACTTGCAAGTAAATATTAGCCACAGTCCTCAATAAATAACTGTCCCAGAGTCTGTGCAGGACTTTGCCATGCACGCCCTGGCGCTGGTGTGTCTGCTGAAAGGTGAGGGTCAACCTTCTACTACCAACTAACTCTTTGCTCTCATTTTCCTCTTTGCAAGGCCCAGGGCCTTTATCTAAGCTTCACCCTTAGGTGCAGATCTCAGACAGAGCCCAAAGCGAGGAAGCAACATGTATCTCAGGCATAGCTTGGGTCTTACATCACAGCTGCGACCATGTTGGCCTGTGATGGGAGCTCGAGCAGGCTGCTAGCACTTCCAGCAAAGCTGGTGTTAGGATGAGAGGCACTGTCACTGCTTAATCACAGGCACTTGCCTGGCAGGCTGTTCATCCTTTCCAGTGTACCTTCCCTATTTAGATGGATCACGCAGTCTTTTTACTGTTAACAAGACAGCACTGGAAATACATTGCTGGCTGTTGTAGAACAAGAGGGCTCCTTGATGAAAACATAAATTCTCCTCCATGTGTTTTCTTCCCATGGCTTGCTCACTGTCTATTTTCTTCCATGCCTTGAAACAACTTTGAGGCATTTTCAGGCCTTTACAAACTGCCAGGGAATGAATAAGAATGACCAGAAGTCCCTCTCTCTTTCCAGCTTTCTGCATCTAGACAGTAAAAGACTTTTCCCCCTTTCCAAATCTGCTCCTGGGCTAAGTGGGCACTGTGAATGCATGGCATGTGCAAAGAACTGACGAAGCCACTGCTCTGCTCTGATTCAAGATGGATTTTTCATTCTCTGGGCTGCATATAACCCATGTACAGTGTGACCTATCCTGGCCTGCAAATATAGGATCAGCTTTTTTCACTCAGATTTCATGGCAGTGGCACTTGCGTGCTTATGTTTCACTGGCAATGGGTTTTCCTTTTCAGGGATTTTTCACCATCCCAGATTCATTAGGTGAGGTGCTGCATATCTGCCCAGGACTCCTAGATGATGTACGGAGGGGAGCAGATCCTTTGGGCATAGTCCTTTGAGCATCCCTGGGGGATGTCTGCTGACACCCCTCAGCTCTTGCAAGTCATGATGGGGAAGTATTTTCTCACGTGGGGCACACTCGTGGCTCAAAGGCTGCTGCTGCCTTCTGACAGCAGGCTTCAGGATCAGCTCCTTGTGCTCTTGGCCCCTTCAGTGCCCCTTCCTCCAGGAGGATCCAGCTGGAGCTAATGCTGTGCTGCCTCATGCACAGAGGCAAGGAAATGTGCACACGTGGCCTGGAGCATGGGGTCGTGTTCATCCACAGGGTCCTCTGTGCTCCGTGGCTAAATGTCAGCTGAAGCGATCACTGCAGGTTCCCTTGTGGTTAAGGGCACTGTATAAATAGAAACCTTTTGTTGTTTGTGAGCACAGGTATGAGCAGCTATACAACGTGCCAGAGAAGGTGAACTTAACTCTAAACATAATTGAGAGCAGAAAAGCTCTTGGCTTTCTCAACACAAAGTAACGGACAGAAGAGACTGGATCTTATGTCTGTTTCTATGTGAAGGCAGCATCCTCGAGAATGAAGACAGCCAGGTTTAGCTCTCATTACTGTTCAATTCTTAACTAAATGCACAGCTCAACTCAAACGGACGACTCACACTGCAGGAGTTCGGGCGCCTCTGGCGAAGTCTCACTAAGTACATGGTACATGGGGGCTGCTCTCTCTTCTCTGCCTATACTGTACTCTTGGGCTTTTCATCAGCAGAGTGCAGATGCTCTGTGATATCAAAGCACTGGGTGGGGGCTGGGGGGAACATGGCAAAGGTTGCTTGCTTAGTGGGTCAGATTGCTATCCTCTCATCCCAAGGTTAAGAGCTCAGGGAGCAGTGGTGTGTTAAAGTGCTCCAAACGAGCAGCCAAGGCTTTTCTAGTGCAGGGAATATTGAGGAAAACATGGGAAAATGTAGGAAGGCCAATTAGGCTCAAAATTTGATGGAAATCTCTGTTTGTGTGCCACCACTGCCAATTTTTTAAAAAGCTTTCTAAGCTGAAATGAGCTCTTGAACAGAGTTGTCTGAAAAACATCTCTTCCTCATTGCTGTAGGAAATGCGTAGGATCTGATGAAAATTTATCTGGGAGAAATATCTCTGCTCTGGGATAAGCATTAGGTCTGGAAGCAGTGAGGACAGTAGCTTTGTATTTAGGGTCTCACCTAAATTCAGATCCAGGGTATGCATGGCAGCTTCTCTGTGTCAGGTCATTCTCCCTCAGTCTTGGTGCAGGATGGGGAGGTTTCCTGAAGCCTCAGGGTTGGCTCTATTGTGTTTCATCCCTCTTGAGGTTGGTCTGAGGCCACCTAGGACATGGGGTGCCAGTTCCCCATCTAGCAATGGTGCTCTTCCCACTGACAGCACTGCAGGTGTAGCTTCTGGGGTTTCAAGGCTGTTCTAGACAATGTCTTTTTGTTAGTGGAGGTGTGAGTATTCCCATTGCTGCCTGCACACATAAACCAGGGAGACTGAGCAAAAAGGCTTCCACCTACCCAAAACTGTGGGATTTCTTACACAGTAACATGCTGTCTGAGCCTTCTGGGAATGGGTCTCCTGTGTCATGGTCACCCCATCTCATCTGTTGAACTTCCTTACAGCCTATTTATTAAGGAGGGAAGGAAAGCATCCTACATAATTAAATGTAGTAATAAATTTGGGGAATGCTGATATGGTCTTGAAAACTACCTTTACACTGTTTTTTAGGATATCTTCAGCAAGGAAGACAGAAATCATTCTGGATTTCTTGATGTGTCTGAACTGAAGAGTGCGGTACAATCAGCAGGTTACATCCATAGGTGTTGAGCAGCTCCCTTGCTTCTCCCTGTAGCAGTGAAGGAAAGGGTGAAAAAGAGAGAGGAAAGGAAAAGGAGCTTCAGAGAGAAAGCAATTTGGATTGCACAGAGATGCCAGTTAGGTCACAGCTCTGCTCAGAGGTCTGCGTTGTTTTAGGACACTGAGACAGAAAGCTCATTTCAGGGAGAAACCCTTTGCACTGCAGTTGGGGAGCCAGAAGAGAGGTAACACTGCAGAGGGAAGCACAGCACTGGCCAGAGCCTGCAGACTAGCTTATCCATGGTCTGTCCAGGTCATGGACAAACCATCCAGCAGAGGAAAGGAGTAAGGAACAGTCGATGCTTGCACTTGCCCCGGTTCCTGCAGTTTCTCTCCAGGGCGGTGATCGAGTCTATAAGGGGAAGACACACCAACATTTATTTAGTTTGCACTGACCTCTGTTGGCTACACGAATGCTGAAACTTGCAGTGAGCGCATGGGACCCCTTCATACGAGTGAAGCATTTTAGCTGGGTCATCTCTTCAGAGATTTTGTGCATGAAATACAGCTCTGAGACAGCAATCCTCTTGTAATCGTATGGTAGAGAAACTCCCATTTGGCTACCTGGAGCTTTAGGGGGTGTTGTCCCCAGAAGGAACCCGGTGCAGAATTGCTATCTGTGGAAGCCATCAGCTCAGGGGATGCACGTGTAATTTTTTTGTTGCTGAGAGCTGGGCAGAGCATTGGCATCTGCCTGAGCAGTGCAGCACTAGTGTGCCAAATGTCAGAGGAGAAGCTGCCAGATCCATCCTTTAAGAAAGGCGCTAAAACTGGGAGGAAAGACGTACATTGAGAAGTCCTGGCAGTTGCGACAGTGCAACTATTGGAAGGGATTAAAAGACACTGTTAAATGGCAAATTCAATACAAGTTATGCTAGAAGAAGTTCCGAGGGGGGGTAGGTGAAGAAAATTATAAGCTTATTCTTGCCACCGTTTGAGCCAGACAGCTGTGTGTGAATCTGGCTTTTAAGCAGGAAGGAGTGGACAGCCCCAGGAAGCATTTGGGAGGATGATGCTACCTCTGGGAATGGCACTAATGTATTTAGATATAGCTCCTAGCCAGATGTTCCCTGAAGTGTTCAGTGCTTTCCCCAGCAAAACACGGAAGTGTGTGCTTAATTTTCATTGTTGTGCTAATGCTTCAGAGGATAATAATGATGGGTCAAGTTTTCTGCCAGAGTAAAGTAGGCTAGCTGCATGAACAGCAGTGTTGCCCTGAAATGCAGGAGCACTGGCCTGGTGTATTTACAAACTCCTCACTGGCAATATGAAATGCATAAAAATAATTTAAAAAATCAGGAAACATAAAGTCTGTCTTTTAAAACTTGACTAAAACCAGAGTGAGGAATCCAGCAGACAAAAGGTGTGGGGAGTAACCTCACAAATAAACAACAGGGCATACCTGAGACGTCGTGGGAATAGAGAGAACCAACACTTCAGTCTTGTTGATGGGGTTAATTGAGAGACATTGCCAGGTGAGCAGATTTCAGAGCAAGTATATCCCAGACAGACCGTGCCAAATTGTCGCCCTTTTACTAGTGTAAGATGATTATAGTATCTTGTAAGCAGCACTGCAATGCTTGCTGGAATCTGCTCTCCAGAGAGACCTTGATTGAATTCCTACTGCCTTCAAAAGGTTAAAAATGAGATAGAATTCATTGCTCACTACCACAGTGGTTCTTGGCAGTGGTTTAAAAACAGAATCAAAGAAGAAATTTCATTAATTAGATTTTTTTTTTTTAATTACTAATTTTTCAACCTAGGAAAAAAATCCAAAATTGGGATTATCTTCTTCTGAAATGTTTCTTAATCCCAAATGTATTTCCATTATTTAAATATTCAGTATTGTGTGTCTTCCTCCTGCTGGTTACCTTCTCCAACTAGACTCATACAACCAGAGTTTGTCAACATACTAACCCACCTCCATTGGATGTATCTCCCCCTACATATGTGTAGAAAAAATATTTCCTTCTTTTCAGCTTGTTCAACTAATTTAGCTCCATGATGATTTTGTGTAAAACTGAAAAGTTTAGAGCTGGTTGAAAAAGCGAAAAAGTTACTTCTCTTCCAGCTGAGCCACTAAAAACTAGGGGTGAGCAAATGAGACTTTTCTGACGTCCCAGAAAATGCATGAAACGGAAGCTATCAGTCCAGTGGTCTGTAGAAAAATTCTCATTTGTTTAGCAAATCAGCTTTTAGTGCAAAATATATTTAAATCCTTCTTCTTATGTAGACAGCACATTTAAGGTAGTTTTATTTAACTAATAAAAGAATCATTCTAAAAGGCAATTTTTGTTCATTCAACTGAATACCAATTTCCATCCGAACAGACTGTGACACAAATACTGAATAATCACCTAATAAAACAGAAATGCACCCTTCACCATTTTCTAATATAAGAGAAAATGTAAAAATTAAGAATCCTAGGCTTGCTACACTGCATAATAGCATGACTGTGTGGTATGGCCCTGTTTAGCAGAAAGCACCAGTGGTATTGTAAATGCTACACTCAGACTTCAACAGTTATGAGCCAAAGAAAATCACCCTTTCTTATCGAAAATAAAATCTAATAAGGCAAAGCAAGATAACACCAGATTGGTTAGCTCAGTGTTTCCTGCTTGCTGACCCAAGCCATAATTTGAGTAACTTTGATTTTCCACCACCCCGACTCTTACGCCCAAAGCTGGGGAAAGGCAAGCTGCCATCCAGGGATGCAGAGACCTGGCATGACGGGGGGGGGGGGGATGAGGGTGGGCCCCAGCTTCTCTGCAGGGTGCCCAAAGCCATCGGAGCCGGTCCATCATCCCGCAGCGTGTCCACAGTGCTGTCATTTCTCTTCTCTCCGTAGGTCTGGCCGCTAACGAGCAGCTCCTGTGCCTGATGACCTTGCGGTACGGCGATGCTGCCCGGAGAATCGGCTTCTCTGACTTCGTGTGCTGCATGCTACGCCTTGAAACCATGACCCGTGAGTCTCAGCGCCGGGGCCTGGCGTCGGGCAGGGGACGTGGCAGCAGGGGAGCTTGCAAAGCCAGACTGGGGGCAGCGGCAGGAGGCAAGGGACACGATGCTAGGCACGATAATACACGTCTAACAGTGTAGCTTGGAAATATCAAACCTGCCCAAAGTCCAGGCATGGTCCAGACATCCCTTTGGGCAGCCTGTTTGCCAGAAGCCAGGTTTATCTCCTGCCCACAGGAACAACTGGCTGGTAGAGAGGAGTTTAGTGCTGAGAGAAAGCAGCAGCTGGGCATACAGCGATGGCCTCGCCGAGAGGGGCCAGAAGGCAGGTCGCCCCCCAGTTTCCCATCAGAGCTCATCAGAGTGCCAGCGGGCTGCAGCGGCGCAGCGCTGCCCTGTGGTTTTCCCTGCTGAGGGTTGATGGTAATGTATATCCAGAGCTTCTGCAGCTGCCAATCCTTTTTTTGCTGCATGGATTTAGCCTGGCTTCTGCAGGCTTGTCCTCAGAGCCCCTATACACTAAGACTCATTTTCTAAAAGCAGGATGTGTCCTTGTGCTGGTGCCCTTCCACACAAGCTTGAGCATCCTGGTCCACAGCAGAGCTTTCCCCAGGGTGGTGTGGAGCATTGCCACTGGTGTCACTGGGGAGAGACTGCCTGCATTCATGCCTAGTGAAAAGGAATGAGGCAACGCATCTCAAAAGGAAGGCTTTCTCTTTTGCTTAAAAGTCAGAGAAGTCTAAATCGCAGCAAGGGAGGTGCTTTTTTTTTTTTTTTTTTTTTTTTTTAAACTTGAGAGATGATTTTTCTCACCAACTTCAGTAAAGTTCTCTCAGTTTTTTGGTAAGGAGAAGGTCTGAGATCCTTTTCAGTGGATAAACAAACCCACTCCATGTGTTGCATCTAGCTATTGTCTGGTAGTTGCAAGGAGGGAGTGTCTGTAAATAAGTCTTTGCCTGAAAGTAAATGGAATTCTGTTTTACAAAAACATACTTTTTCCTACTCTAATAATAAGCATTTTGATTGGAAATACTGGTAGTTAAACAAACCCAGCAATTGTGACCCTTGTGCTAGAACATTGCTACAGCAATTTAGTTCATTTTAGGAATGAGCTGGGTTTCAACGGTGCATGGAAATGAGTGTTCACTTTTTCCCATGTGTTTTTACCACTGATGTTTTATGGGCCAACAGTGGTCAGCGGATCCGCCCAGATGACACGGCCTAAAATCCCATTTCAAGGGAGTACAAAGCAGAACCAGCTCAGAAAGTCTGAGCGTGTCCAGATTTTATTGCTTTAATTAAAAAACAGATAACTTGTAAACACCCATTTTTTGTGATTATATACGTCACTTGCTGTAGATGAAAAATCAACACCATGGTATTTTTTTTTAATCTTAAAAAAGATCCTCTTACATTTTAAGTACCAGTGTAAGGACAACTCCTTTACATTCACGTCGAAAGGAATCTCTAAAAGTTTCATTGCTGTCTGTAATGAGCATCTTACAAAATGCTTTCAACTCTTTCAGTTTTCACTTTACAGAGGGTTTAATGTGGCATACATTTCTCAAACTTTTCAAATCATTGTGAATAAGATTGTTACAGGAGAAGTTAAGGGTGCCAAATGGGAATAAAAGTCAGTCCACCTTTACGATGATCTAAGTGCAGCAGGGAGGGTAAAATCTGTCCCATAAAATCATTACTGTTCTTTCAAGATAGCTAGAGATGAGACCCAAACCAAAAGCAGCAGCTTCTTTGCAAACTCTGTTTAACTGGAGTTAATGAAGCAGTAAAGGAGCACTTACCTCTGCCCAGAGGAGACAATTCCAGCACTGCCATTTGTTCCTAAAAAGACTGCTGGGTGCAAGCCCAGCCCTGTGGATACAACCTTGTCAAGGGGCTGCACACAACCTGAGGATTCCCTCGTGCTGTGCCCTTCTTCAGAGCAGCACAGGCTGGGTGTGCTTCATCCTGTTAGTTTGCCTCTGCTTTCTGTCTGCTCTGGATAATACAGGTAGCTCCGGTTGCCTCCGAAGGGGCAGATGAGCAACATGCCCTTGTGCCCCATTCCTACACTCTCCCAGCAGCCTTGCACTTTTGTCTAAAGCTGGACAGCTTTCATGATCTTACAATGGCTTTTCCATTCAGGGTGAGAAACAGGCTTCTGGAGAAATGTGTCATTCAAGGATAAGACTTAAATTTGTCTCAACTTTTTATTACTGTTTATAACAGCACATGTCTAGGAGAAAAGTAATTTCAAAATAAATAAAAAGAACTCAAAATACTGTGTTTTGACTTTATCCAAACACTTGGGTTTGAACATTTCTCCTAGACAAACTGCAATATAAATGTGCACATAGAATATCAATATTTGAATGGATTTAAATTTTCTGATGGCAAAGTGTTCTGTCAGGAAACTTTCAGCAATGTTAATTTCAAACTCTAGCTGAATAACAGCAGCATCTGCATTTATATTCCCTGGAAAAAGCTTGCAAGGCATACTAATGACTTCAAGAGAATCACTTTCTTTAAGGCACACTGTGATCACTCACTGCCGGGGAGGATGGAAGAGGACCAGCAGAACGTTTCCCTGTGGGAAGATGTGTTTCATTAGTTCACCATTCTCCAGTCAGTCTTCAGACGGGAGGTACAATTGAAACAAATTATGAGAGGACATGAAAGCAGTCACACTGAGCACTCCCTGTCCCTACACTTTTGCCAAACTCTGGCCCTGCGCTCGGGATGCCTTCCCAGGCTGTGATCCAAGGGCCAAGGCAGAGAGGTTACCCAGCACAGAAATGAGATGTGGCTAGGCAGGACAGTGCGGGTGGACACCTCAGCCAGGCAGAGTATCCCAGCGCCAGGATTGCAGCTCTGCTTCTCAGCTGCCATAGCCTTATGTCTGAGTTGCATTCTTGCTTCCTCCTCACGAAATAACATTTTCTTTGTTCTCCCTAGATGCATTTCAAAACTTGACAGAGGGCAGATCACAAATTTCGATGACAACAATGGAGGTAAGAATGGTCCATCCTTCTCTCCAGGTCCAAAGTGGGACCGCTGAGTATGTTAGCAGGAGGGTGAAGTTGAAGATGATGTGTGATGTATATTGATAGGGGTTCTGCCTCTGACGCCAACAGTGGTGAGGGTTTTGCCTGGCTGGATGCGTGTCATGGGCGGGAGGTATTTCCCTGGGGTTCCCTGGCTGCAGGGACTCAGCCTTGCCAGGGCGAGCACAGCTCAGTGCTGGCCATCCACATCCAAAGCGCAGCGTCTTCCCTTACTGATGCCAGCTTGTTGTTGCTGGAATCATTGCTCAAAGTGACTTTGAGAAAGTGACAAAAAAAAAAAAAATCCATGCCCTCATTTCTTACTGCCCCATCTGTTAATTCTGAATTGCAAAACATCTCGGTTTTAAGAAGGAAATAGCAGACAAATGCTTGCTGCTGCTGTTTGTCTTAAAAGCACAGCCTGAAGGATAGCTAGCTGAACGGGGATACATCAAGCTTTTTATCAGCTAGTCTGAAGCAAAAATCCTGCTGTGCTCCATGGTGATATGCCTGAGCACTGCATTTTATCAGTCTGGGGACTATTATTTGACAACACAGTGTTTAAAAAGATTTTTTTTTTTAAAAAAAAGCCTTTTACAATCTTTTTGGCTCCTGTTTACATTCTGTGGTTAGTTCAGTGGCTTGTAGTTCATTAAATCTGCTTTGCACCAAGAGCTGAGCAGTTTCCAAGCAGAGGCCCTGAACCTGTTTTTAGGGGTAGTCTGTAGGATAACGACATTCCCAGAGCCTGCTATCCCTTCCACTTGCAGTCATGCAGGTGCCATCCTTTCCCAGCAATTGTTCCTGCTGCAGCTGCTGCGATAATTTATCGTGGAAGGCAACGTATGGAAAGTATTTCTGGGTCTGAATTGGAATAAGGGAAAAATGCCGTTCCAAAACCCCTTAACTGTCCTGTGCAGGACATTGGGGCACAGCCTGAAGGTACTGAGACACATGTCTGAAGACTTGCTGTAACATCACTATCTAAATGCACCTCTTCTTTTTCCAGTGGCTGACTCTGGTCATGTATACTTAAAGAGATGTCAGAGCTCAATGTGACTGGTAAGAGATCTCCTTAGTACTATACATACCGAGAGGAAAGGTGTGGGTGACCTTCCAGTGGCTACAGTGAATATGAGTGGGGGCCTTACAGAAAGCTCATCCTGGGGTTGACTGGTTTTGAGAGAAAGAGAAAGGTGAGAACTGTAGCATGAGCGGGGCTGGAGTGGGGCTGCAAAGGGAGTTGGACTTTGGGCTGTTTTTTTCTGGGGAATTGTTGATGGTCTTACAGTTGCTCAAAGCACCAGTGGGTCAGTTAGTCACTTGCCCCCGTTCCCACCTGAGGTAATACATTTTCGGTTGATCAGCTAGCAGAACTTGTCTTTTTTGTCTCCTTCTGAGGGATGCAATTACTCCTGCATATGTTCATAGCTGCAGCAAATGTAAAGCCAAGGAGAAGTTGGGGATATGAGGTCACTTAGATTTCTTGCTCATTCTGATTTCACATTTTAACTGAATTATGTGATTTAGTTTACCTTTGAGCAACAGACCCTACCTTGTGCTTCATTTGATGTTTGATCTCTCTATGTCAGGCCTGGAGAGATGCTTTTTTGCCCTGAAGTTTACCTGGACTTTCCAATTTTGCTACTTAGTTCTCCTGAAGAACTTTTCTTACAAAACTTGTCCTGCTTACACATCCATAAACCGTCCCAGACATTTGGCACTGAGGAGAAAATGGGGAGGAAACCCAATCCTTAGAGAAAATGTGCAGTGGAGGACCAGCAGGCTCCTGCCTTTGTTTTGCAGTTGACCCCAGGAACTCACGGAGCATCCCTGGGCAAAATCACACACTTTCCTTATCAACCCAGTTCAAAAATAGCGTGAAAAAAAAAACAAAAAGCAGGACCCTCACTGAAATCCAGGGACTGCATCCAGATGAGCCTTCCTATAGACAGGAATTACAATAATAAATAATACACGAATAGCATCTCTGGTATCTCACATCCTGTTTCTTAAGGCAGTTGACATTGGGTGCCAGCTTTGGAGAGAAGTTGAAAGGGGAGATATATAATCAGGGTGTAAATTACACTCCTCCAGGGAGAAAGCATGGCAGATTCAGACCCAGGACAGGGACGGCTCCACGTCTTTCACCCCTGGCTCCAGGGCAGCACTCGTGCCCAGTTACTGCTCTGTCTTGGCTCCTGATTGCATCGAGTGAGTCCATCTGCGGCAGGAGCTGGGCTTCACCACTCAACGCTGTGACGCCTTCACCCCTCTGAGCTCTGTTTGCACAGTTATTTGTTTGAAAATATGCCCTTTGCTTTCGGAGACCTTTGGACAGCACACCCTCCCTTTGTCACAGCAAAGCTGGTTTTCGATGTGTTGATGCACAGAAACAGATTATTCACAGCACAGCACCCACCCCTTGCACTGCAGACTATCGTTAGGTAAATAAGAGACTAGGAGGACCTCACTTCACTGGAGATGAAGTTGCTTAAATTATTGCTTGCAAATGATATTCATAGTCTATTTAGTCTTCTTCTTTCCTTTCATGAATCATTCATAAACTGATCATAACTTCTGCAAATATATAATTAATCATAATTTTCACTTACCAGTTTTGAATGAAATTCTGCCCGTAGGGTGTTCGTAAGCAGTTCACTTGAGCAATTTAGCAGCCACTTGCAGCCAGAGACTGGGCAGTCAAAGCACAGGTCCCTCAGAGGACTGAAACTCTTTAAACCAGAGCCTAACAAACTATGAGCAATGTGGGAAAACACACATGGCTTTTGTTGAAAAATTTCTGTCGGAAAAAATATTCTCATTAGTGATTTCTAAAGACTGACCTCCAGATGTCTGTGTGAGTCTCTTTGCCTCTGCTTTAGATGGCTTTTCTGCTCCTCAGCAGGATACAGCCCAAGGCCATCCCAGACAAGAGCCACTCATGGGGTTCTCCAAAAACCTCTGTGAAGGAGCGAAGCCTGGTTTTCTATGGATATTTGTTCATGCTTGATGGCACTCAGATGTTGGGATGAAGAGTCCTTTTCAGGCAAACTGGAGTTACTTTGGAGAGAGAAGAGAAGATAATGAGAGATATCCATGGGCAAGCTTGTAGTACATAGTGGTCTGGGTAAACTGGAAGTGCTGACTGTAATCTCCTCTCATCTTCCTGTAAATAATACGGCTGGTTCTCCTGGTTAATGCACAGAAGTCAGGAACAGATCCATTAACTCCATTGCAAGTAAGAATAGAATCAGGCCTTTTGTGTTGAAGGAGTGTCTATCACGTAGGTAACAAAATATTAAGACACAGGTTTATTTGAATTATTTCTTAATTTGCTTGTGTGCCATTTCTAGATGTCAGAAAAAGGTTGAAGAAATTAGTCAAAATTCATAAATAACACCAGAAGCTTTGTGATTATTTTTAAACTTTTTATTAATAAATAAAAAAGAAAACAAGTCTTGTTCATGTTTGAATTTGTCAGCTGCAGGGATTCCATTTTATTTGCTACTGTAATGAAGAGGCATATTAAAGATGTAGGACAGATTGTTCAGTGTTGGTTGTTTTTTTTTTTCTGATTTCCAGCTTCTACATCAGGACTGTCTGGGAAGAGGCAAGTTTAGAGGAACCGTGCTCTCTTTCTCTGTCCTGATGTCTTTAAAAATATAGGGCTTCTTCAGATATAATTTCTGCTTAGAAGTTTAACTTAAATCTGCTAAATAACAGTAACCTTTCTGTAGCCCACACACAAACTCGGTTTTCCTACTTTTTTATTATGGTGATAAAAGCAAATCTAGTGATCTATTCTACTCAACTATCGGGGAAAAAAAAAAACTCTGAAGATTCTATTTGTGAAAATGCCAAAAAAGAAGGATGCAAACATCGATGGATGAAAGCAGTTCAGGGTTGCCATGGCAATACAATTCACACCGTGCCTCACCCAGACCTTCCGCAGAAGTTTCCATTGAGCATCCACAGGCTAGCAACAGGTTTACTCATTCAGCAGCGAGACGTTACACACTGGAGCAACAACTATGTCACAGGACGAAGAGGGGACCTGTGTCTTTGTTACCACCAGGTCTGTCTGTGGCAGTGTCTCGTTCTGCAGCTTGGAAAGCATTACTCATGTAGGCAGGTGTTATGCAAGTGGGGTCACTGAACCCACCCTTTCACTGAAAATTAGGGGAAAAGGAAATCAGGAAAGTTAGAGTATTCTAATATTTTTCAGTCATTTTTAAACAAACCGATTCCTTCTCTGAAGAGTGACTTACACATCCCGCTTGAAATCATTAATTGAGCTCTCTGAAAATGCTGGCAAAGGGAGAAGGTAAATAAAAAGGGTGGCCATGAAAAAAATAAATATGCTTTGTTTAGAAGATGTATTAGTAGATCTGTTTCAGAGAAGTATGCTTGTTTAGTTTAGCCTGGGAATTCAAGAAGGGTAAGTAGAAATCTGGAAGTACTTCTGTATGATGCCTACCATGCAGTTCAGGGGTGCTCAGGTTGGCTCAGGCCTGCTGGGAACAAGCTCTTTGTAGCTACACAGAAGCCACGTGTGATAAAATTGTGAAATTCAGTTCAAGTCAACAGGCTTAAATACATTCTCGTTGTGCGTAAGTCCCATCTATAAAAATACCGAGCTGTTAAGATCAGCACATTAAGATCAGTCTTAAAAATCTTAATTTGCAGGCAATGTATTACTTCTCCTTTTGTTACGATGCATAATTGCCTTTCTGTGGAAGGCAATTCTGCTTGTCATGAGACGAAGATCCTCGTCTCTAATAACTTAGTCGGGCCACAGACTAAAATGTTGCTTCTTCATTAAAAAGCTATCAGCAGACACCAGACATCCCAGGGGAGAGACACCGCCGGCACGGAGGTTGTCTCCCCGTGGGTTTGCCGGCCCTCCTCGCGCGCGGGGCGCCCACAGGCCCGCGCCCAGCGCCGCTGGTGCCGGCCGCCGCCAGCCCGGCCCCCCCGCCACGCCGACCCTCCGCCGGGGCGGCTGCCGAGCGTGCGAGCCGGGGGGCTCGGGGACCCCCCTACGGCCCCCGCGGGCCTGGGGGCAGGCGCCTGCGTGCTGGCCCTGCGCCGGGGCAGAAGGTAATAACTCACCGCTGTCAAGCTGAGCGCGGCTGCCCGTCTGTAGCGTTGGAAGAATTGGTATTCCACTTGATTTATACTTCCAACCAAGCTAATTAAGCAACAATTCAGGAGGAATCCATCATTGTGACAGACTTGTTGATTAACCGTCCCACGAGCAAAGTCAAGGGTGTTTGGTAGCCTGGAAAAAAAAGATCGGGTCAATAGGGAGAGAAACAATGATTTGGCCATAACACAGCAGTGACTATTCTTTCCAAAAGCAACAAGAAGCTTAATACATTTCACAAACACAGGGGCCAACATTCAAAACAAAAGCAGCTCGCATCAGTGGGGTGTTAGATCAAGAGGGAAAACTTCTGCATCTCATCCTTGTTTGATTAAGCTGTGAAGGCCAACTTTATGGGGATGGTACCCCATCAAAATCCTCTGTGCACCTTCATCTGTGTTGCCAGCTTAGAAATGTTAGTGAGATCCCCGTGAGGTTTCTGGCATTTGTGAGAGCTCTGAGATTCATCCAATTATGACAATATCATCTCTAATGTCTTTGATGAAAATCGGTTTCTAGTCCTCAGGGACACAAGTCTGAAAAGCCCTGAGAGGGTCTGCTATTACAAATTGAAGAGAAGAACCTCAAACAAATGCTTTATTTTTAAATCTTCACAATGCTAAAACCCTCAAGAGGGTAAGAAGCAGGCAATGCAAAGAAGCAGAAGCTGAAGCAGCTGAGATTAGTGGTGCTGAACTCCCAAGCTTTGAAGGTGAGATAAAAAGCTGATGAAATCAGGTGGGATCTGAGACAACCGTTAGCATTAGAAGGACCTTGGTGCAGAAGTGGTGACGGCTGACCCTACAAGCATAATCTCTGGATGTAGATCTTGAAGCCCTGCTGTTAACTGCCCTTCTCCGGAGACCCAGGGGCCCCACGTCTGGCGTCTGCCTGGCAGAGGCCGTGCCCAAGTCATCTCAGGATGGACGGAGGAGAAAGCTCTTGCACGTCTTGCCTACAGGGCCTGATCCTGCAGCTGTTCCCAGAGCATGCAGCTTGGATTCAGGCTTTCCCAGTAGACTCAGAGGCTCTGGGTTTGATGCCCATCCCTCAGTGAACCCATCCTGCCGTTGTGGTATGGGAGACTGGGAGTGTCCGTGGCCAGTTTTGGAGTACTGGAACCTCCCTCTCTGCTTTTGGCCGTGCCTCAGGTCTCTCACAGAGAAACTGCTGCAATTTATACAGAATAACTAAAACACTTTTCAAGAAGAAAAAAAAAAAAAAAAAGAAAAGGCACATTATTCCATAACCTCATGCATGGCTGAAGAGGGAATGCCTGGGTCTGACCCTGGCTGTGAGCAGCCCACTGGCTCTTGCACTTAATTACATGAACTAATGATTTTTATTTTGTTTCTTAATGCAATTAAGTTCTTGAAGTAGGGAGCCACTGTGCCAGCTGCAGCAAATGCCCTGACTGTGGGCTGCAGAGTCACAGGCATCTCTTGGGCAAGGGTGCAATGAGAAGGGACTGGCGTGCCTGCGTGCAGCCTTGGTGGATGCCTGGGAGCGCTCAGCTCTCCCTGCTGCCTTCAGTGAGATGGTGACCCTTTCCCAAAGGAGGTACCCGTCCTTCTCCCGGTACCCCAAACTCAGGGAGGCAAGTGGAAAGCCCAACAGGAGTGACCCCCTGCTGTGTTTAGGTAGCTCAGCAGGAGCACAGGCAAATGTTGGGACCGCTGCTCTGGTGGGGGGGCTGCCAGCTGTATTTGGCATCATCATGCTTAGCCTTAGCACTTACCTTGAGGATCTCTTTGCTGCAGAGCTGGAGCTGAAACATTTCACTATCACCTGTCAAACCTTACTCCTTATCCTGCAATTCTTGGCTACATCCCTTGCACCCGGTCCCACCCTGCAATAGCTGCCCTTTGTCAGCCCTGGGGACCAGGCAGACCGAGAGCACACCAGCCTTTTCAGAGGGGGTTTCCCAACGCCCTCCACCAAGCTGGCCAGTGCCGCCCTGGGTGCCTGCTGCCAGCTGTGCTGCCAGCTGTGCCTGGGCCGGGTGTCCCCAGCCCGCTGTGGCACCGGGGGCCATTTCTGCTGCATGGCAGTGACATCTAGAGGCTCCCTGGCCCCAGCTCCCGTCTCTCACTGTTCGCACGCCGCTGGCAGCGCTTGGCAGGCAGAAACCTGCTCCTCACGGGGCCCCCGGGAAGCCCACTCACACCTTCAGGGTGAAGTACTCCCAGATTTAAATCCAAGCTCCTTCCCTCGCCCTCGTTCCCTAAAATGCCATAGGAAGAAGCCTTTTTGTAGCACCTTGAGGAAATTTTATACTGCTTCTGGGATCCCAAAGGTTTGAGGGAGTCAACCGGTGTCCCTTTCCCGAG